GTAAAAAGTTTTCATTAAGTTTAATAAAGATAAGAGCAAGGTCTCACCTTAAATATTAAAAAAAAAAAAAAAAAAAAATTTACCGGTAATTTACAAAACAGCCTGGTAAATTTACCAAAAAAAGGGATCGTCTAAAGCCAGGTAGTAATTTATATACATCACGTGATTTTTAATTTACGAATTTGTTAATAATCAATTTAAAAACTACCTGGCTTTAGACGACCTCCGAATGAGGAAATACAAAGCTAAATATTTATCACTAAATACTAGTTATGTGAATCGTTGGCCTGATCAGACGACATTTACAAAAAATTAGCCAATCACATGAAAGTCCATTATAGTATTTGAATCGTAGAATTATTTGAACCGTAGAATTCGAAACTATTTTACAATCCATTTTAATTAAACATGACGACGACGACAAACACATCAATAGCTTCGAAAAAGAGTTTAGAAACATTTTTAGCAATTTACCTATTCAGGCATCACTTTCCTCACTCCAACTTGCATTTCAAAGCTTCGAAAAAACGCAACAAGTGGAAGTTCATTCGCGTTTAAAAAATCTTTATACCCTATATTCGAGCAACATAAAAAAGACTCTAATGTGGTATTATTATATAATTATTAGATGAAGCCAGTATTATTTTATATCTGACAATGTGTTATTCAGCAAAGCAGAGCAAAAAGATGCATTTCTTGAAATGTTTGTTACAACTTGGAAACATTTTACCGAAAAAATGGTAAAAGATTTAAAATTTTTACATTTTTCTCTTGTTACATTTATTTATTTGCAAATAAATTGTTCTAGGAATTGATTAGTCGTAGCTTTCAGTACTTGGATCCTGTTTTTCAAATGCTGGGAAAAGAGTCAATCTGGTAAGTACCATTTAACAATTTAGTTTTATTATCTATGGGTTATTTAGACCTTCATTTCTGTCAATTAGGAGGTTGGGATCATGTGAATTTAGAAAGCAAGTGTTGTGTAGTCAAGAAATAAATAAGAAGAATCTTTTAGGAATATTAGAATCGATTGAAAAACAGCGGTAAGTAATTAAATCTTTATAAAATTTTTCATAATGTATATATAACTCTATATTTTTAACTATATTTTTACCTAGAGAGGGGGAAGTAAGAAATGGTGTAGCATTGCGTGAAACACTCCAAATCTATATTAAGTTAGCGCTTTATGATCCAATAGAAAAATCTCTTGAATTTATGCATCTAAATATTATGAATTGAAAAGTGATGTTTATATTTGTAATCTGAATGTATATGAATATTTGCAGTATGTTAAAGAACGTATTAAATATGAAGAGGATTATATTTCTGCATATTTACATTCAAGAACTAAGGAATCTTTGATGAAACATGTGGAATTAAAATTAATCAAACGTCACGCCAAATTAATTTGGGAAAACAGTAAGCTATTTCTTTGACGCAAAATTTTTTAATTTTATCATTGTAATTAATTTATACAATTTTGCATAGTTGAATCAACTTTCTTCGATATTATGAGTAATCCGTGCGAAAAGCGTGGTCGTGTATTAACATTGTTATATCTTTACCTGGTTAAAATTGACGGTGTTGAACTATTACAATTATTTATAGACCCTATTATTGAGGTAAATAAGATCATACCTTTATTGACTTTAACTAGTGTTTGGATATGGATGAATAATCATAATTGAGTATAATGTATAAAAACACCAAGCCGGCGCGTCTGAGTTATTTGGCACATATATTAGTAGGATTATACTCTATCTGTTGTCACTTGGGTGGCAAATTTGGATTCGAGTCCAAACACTAGCTCTAATTTGAGGACTATTAATAACTTTCACTTTCTAATACAAGCAGCGAATATAACTTATTTATGAACAATTTGCGAGTACGCCTCTTGAATTGTCAAATCGGTTAAACGAAGTTAAAAATGAAATTAAAACGAAGTTTGAGGATGATTATGATGACGATCGATCAAGAAATGTGGCACCAACGGGTTACAAAATATATTAGTAAAAATAAAAAAAAAAACAATGAAACTGCTGGTAAGTTCTAGATAATAATACAATTTTAAAAGTATTTTTAATTTATTTTCTAATTTTGATAATATTATATTACAGCAAAACTGATACATGATTTCATGACATCTGCCATAAATCATAAGAAATTTAGAAGAGCTTTTAGACATCGTCCTCCGACTTTTATCATACATGGATGGTACATTTTAAATTCAAATGGATTTATTAAAGATGATAAGGATCATTATTGAAAACTTTTAAATATTTATATATAGATAAAAGAGATTTTTAGAACTTTTATATGACAGATCTTGTTACTCGACTTTGCTTTGAGAAAACGTCAAACTTTGAACTGGAAAGACGCGTGGATACTAGATTATTAAATGCAATGGAACCAGAAGAGTTCTCTAATAACTTGATGTAATGTTGAATGATATAATTCAAAGCAGTTTAATGAAATTTATAACAATTGCAAAAGTGTGAGTTTTAAAATTCTATATATTGATGCGTAAAAAATATTATACTAATTTATAATTCAAGAATTTAGAATGCACCCGTTGCTGCATGTTAACGTTTTAACGCAAGACAGTTGGCCAAAATACGCAACGAATTCAACATTAAACGTGAAACTAGCACATGATGTAGGTCGAATTTTTAATTGAAATAACTGTTCACCTTATGTATATTAATATAGATATGTGAGAACTCATTTTTAATTGTATTTTGTTTAGAACAAGTGAATGTGCATATAAGACTAACCCAGAAAATAAGAATAAAAAATTAAAATGGCAACGTGAATTAGATAGATGCATTGTTGAAATGATTCTTGGATCGGTATGATTATTTATTCATTTTGCACATCCTGTAAAGATATATAATATATAATTGTAAAAATTGTTTATTTCTTTTTTGTATAGAAAAATATTCTTATAGATTTGAGCTTATTTTCAATCTTGGTATTGTTGTTATTCAATGGGTACAATGAAATCAAACGTCAGACTGAATTGGGTTTATCAAATTATCAAAGACATTTATTAACTAGATCTAATATTTTTTCTATTGCTTAACTAAATCAATATTTGTTTTAGAAATCACGGAACTGAATCGCGCTTTACAATCACTTATATTCAAGAAAATCCCATTATTGTTAAAGGAACTCACCACATGATGATATAGAGAACACCAATAAATCTTGTATTGGCGTGTAATTGGATACCAGGTACCATGACTGGTACTGACAATAATATAATTACGCTAGAAATCTTGAAGTGACTAAACGTTAGGCCATACAAGCTTAGTAAATTGGTAAATTTTGCAAAATTTTGAAAAAGATTTTTAACTATATTACTACCCGGGCGGTTTTTTTTAGATGTTTATAAAAAAAAATTTATATATGTTTTATATAATTTTTTGAAAACAATTAAAATTGAGTCATTTTTAAAATTGTTAGGAGAACCAAAAAGTTAACTTTGTATGACCTTATACTATACTATATATATATATATACCAATATATTATTTTTTTAATATATATTTAGTTTTTTAAATGTTTGTTACATGACCTTTTTGTCACGGGCAGGGACGATGATCGATTATGCATGCAACAAAAGTAAATTATGCACTTTTATGCGCATATGCTTTTTCTTAATTGTGTTAGTATTTTGCTCCTAAAATTTATAATTATGCTATGTCTCGCACATAAAATGCACAGTTTTATAACTATGTCTTTCGTAATAATTCGAAACTGGATATACCTTACTTTACCAATAATTTCACCGACAGCTCACTTAGCCGACACCACGCCAAGTGACAATTTACTGTGTTGCAACTAATAAAATGCTAACACTAACTCTATGTGGTGTCAGCTAAATGAACTTTCGGTGAAATGATGAAATGATTGCCGGTGAAGTGAGCAGCGTCGTTCGGGAACTTCAATTTTTTCTCGACCTTGCGTAATTTGTGGCGATAATTACTTATGCATAAAATCATCGTCCCTGGTCACGGGTCATGTGCAATTTATAAAATTTATATCATATAAGCAATGATTTTCCATGCCGATCATTGGACGTTTTACTAACCCTATTTTTTTTCTTTTTCAATAATGAGTCGCGTCACTGGTGCCGTCGTTATTGGAGCGTTGTTACTCGAATAGTCCTTGGATCGTCGTTGGTGTCGTGTTGAGTCTTCGTTACTGGAATCGCGGTGTTGAAGTCGTGCCGTTCTTAGATCGTCGTTGGAGCCTTTCGGAGTTGCCGTTGTTACTGGAGTCGCATTACTGGAGTGCCGTTAGTGGAATGGAGTCGCGTTACTGGAGTGCCGTTAGTGGAATGGAGTCGCGTTACTGGAGTGCCATTAGTGGATTGGAGTCACATTACTAGAGTCGTTGTTAGTGGAAATAAGTCGCGTTTATTGTTTTCCGCTGTGGTATTGCTGTTACAAGATTGTTGTTTCTCTTGTCTATGGCGTGATTAACTGGTTTTTTTTCAGGTAGCTAGTCGTCGTTCATGGAACCGTTGTTTCTGGTGTTTCGCTTGTTGATCTTTGTTGGTCTGATTCGTCGATTTGTGGTGTTGGTATCCGTGACATCTTTTAGGTGTCATTGCTGAAGTTTCATGCATGTTGTTAGTCTTCGTTGGTGTGTATTCGTCATTTCGGCATCGTTTTTGGTGGGGTTGTTTTTTCCAATGTTTTCGTTACTAGAATCGCGTTTTTGGTTTTTCCGTTGCTAGTGTTGCCGTTACAAGATTTTTTTACTGGTGATTTTTCTTGTCTGTGGCGGGATTAACTGAATTTTTTTTTCAGGTAGCTAATGGAGCCGTAGTTTTTGGTATTTCGTTTGTTGATATTTGTTGGTTTGATTCGTCATTGGTGCGCCGTTGTCAATGTCGCTATTGGTAAGCCGTGGTTTTACGAATCGTTATTAGTTTCACCGTGTGTTGGGTTACGATTATTCGTTACGTGATGATTTTGATGGTTAGGGTAGGGTGAGGTTAGTTGGCGGTTAGGGTTAGGTAGGGTTAGTTAGCGGTTAGGGTTGGTAGTTAGTGGTTAGGGTTCGGTTAGCGTTAGTAGGATTGGTTAGCGGTTAGCGTTAGGGTTAGAAGGGTGAATAGAATAAATATGTAAAAATATTAATTAATTTAAATATACTTACGTTTTGATTGGCTGATTATGTGTTATGTGACCCGTGACAAGAATGTCATGTAACGGGGAGCAACAAATAAATTTATCCTTTTACCCGATTTTGATATTTCCACACTCTTTGATCACATAAAGTGATAGCAAAAATGAAAAAAATGAAGTGTCAGATTACAATGCACAAATTTTAAGCCAGAGTATTTGGATCACACATTGGGGTGTGCGATACCATATAATTAATAACAAACATATATATAAATTGCAATAAGGAAAATTTTTTCATAGCCTATGATTTTTCCAAAATTATATAGTAAAATACAATTTTTTTAAATTGCTAAGGCTCCAGAAAAACTGTTATTTATAAAAAAATTAATATATTTTAATTGAAGACGATATATAAATAAAATACTAATATAAGAGAAAATTTTTACCTCATATAAATTTTTAAAAATTGCAATAGAGTGGAAAACATTTATGATAAAAAAATTTTAAGAGTTTTTTGCATGATTAGCTATTTTATAAATTAAAAAACTCTGAAGCATAAAACTATAACTTATTCTCTATTAGTTTAGGTAAATTTTATATCTTTATCATTAAAAATAAAAGAGAAGTAGCAATTAAAAAAAACGTATTTTACCCCTTAATCTGTAGATCATTTCCAGGCAAATTTGCCTGGAAAATTTCTACTGTTTACTCCATAATACTAAATTGCCTTAATCTTTCAAAAATTGTTGTTTACATTGTAACCAAGCTCTGAGCAAGTCATGGGTATTTTATTTTGCCTGGCACTTGTGATCTAGTTGCAATAGTAATGGGTTTGCTAGTAACACATGTACTGTAGTTAGGGATTGGAATCGGTTTAGTCGACTACTATGTTACTATGAAAATTTTTTAGTCGACTAAACTGATTCCAATCCTTAACTGTAGTGTTAAGGAGAACTTAATTAGAAATGAGAATTTTTTCACTTAGTCGTAAAATCTTTGATACCAAAATTTTCTTGCTATCACCGCTTGCTTATATGACCATTTGTTATTCAAAAAAAAAAAACCTTTTTCTTCGGTTTAGCTCCTTTGTTACTCTTTTTTCAAACCTCCTTTTATCAAAACGATTCAATTGATTTTATGGCCTTCCGATTCAGCTGTTTTTCTACTTACACATCTTAGATATTTTAGTGTCATTACTGCGCCGATAATGGTCATGCTTTTTTTTCAAACATACTATTAGAGCTAAATCGGCACCTTACAAATTCTCTTGAATTAATAGTTACAATACATGCATGTGTATACTTATTCAAAGCTTAACATATTTGGTCCAGTAGTTAAGGTGTTAAAATGGCCAAAACCTACTAGTGCTATTTATTTTAAATTTACTTTTATTCATTTGCAGTACAACCCAAAGTATCAAAATTTTAGATTGGAGAATTTTTTTTTGCCTTATTTTACTTTTATTTATTTTGCCTTATTCTTATTTTTTTCTTTTGCTTTACACGTAATTTGCTTACACTGCCTTTATTTTTTTTTTTGCTATGTACTTTTATTTATTTATTTTTACCTTACTTACCTTTATTTATTTATTTTTATTTTTATTATTATTATTTTTTTTTGTCTTTATTTATTTTGTAATTTTTTTTCTTTTTTTAATATTAAAGTAAAATCCATAAATTCAAAACCATATCATTGAAGTTCGAAAAAAAAGGGGCATTAATCCAGTGATTAGGCGATTAATATAAAGTTGAAAGTTTTTATGATTTTTTAGAAATAAAGTCTCTAAAACAATATAGTCTGGGTTTAGAGCTGCATAACAGCACTTTACATTTAGTGCACCACAAATTACTTTGTGGGGGGTTGTCAGAATTAATTTCTCTTTCACCACATTGTAATAAATAATGACAATACATACAAGCTTCTCTTTTCATTCTCCATTCGACTAAATGATCCCCATCTAACAAACGGGTTAACGGCAATTCAAAATTTTTTGTAACATGAACAACTCATTTCCCTTTTGATGGTGCTTGAGATGATATTTCATCAGACGGTAATTTACTCTTTTTTTTATTATTTAAGGTGCTCGTGATTAAATCCCATGCTAAACTAATTCTAAATTCTTTGCTTGAGATTTTTGTGTTAGTAACTTTATGATGAAGAAGTACACAGTTTACGTTCACAGTATCCAAGATCCAGAAAAATAAAGAGAGCCATGTGCATCTAACTATTAGTTGACAATTGTAATATCTACGGAGTTGGTCAGTGATGTCAACACCTCCCATGTGATGATTATAATCATCAACTATACGTGGAATTGGTAATTCCTTCCAATATGCATCTCCAAAAATATTACGCACTACACTTGCATTAGAACTGGTTTCACGTAGGCATCGCCAGTTATGAATAACTTTACAATTATCTCCAGAAATTTCATGAATTGTAGATAACATGGTTACTGGGCCATTATCGATCCATAGAATAGCCAAAATGTCGTTAACCACCTTATCCAAAAGCGTATTCTATTCTAATAATGAATCTCTATTCTTCAATTCTTTAGGAAATCCTGCAGAATTGGTACAAGCAGTGCTACAAGCACCAATACTATTTTCACGTAAAAATTTAAAAAGAGGTATACTGGAAAAGTAATTATCTATGTACACATAGTACATTTTATTCCAAGAAAGTTTGCTAACTAAATGCGCAACTATGCATTCAGTGTGATTAAGGCCTGGAATTGATCTTGCAGATGTATTCTTTTCGATACGTGATATAAATATAAATGCACACGTGTACCCATGATCACACAGTAAAATAATTTTGTAACCCTCCAGGGTTGGTTTATTCTTCATCCTTACTGTGTAAGCACTTCATCCAGAAAAACGCACAATCATTTCATCAACAGAAACATTTGAATTAGGAACATGAAATTTTTTAACAGCATCTTGTATATGTGATGCAAATGGATCTACTTTAGAAAACCAAAATGGATGAGGTTCACCTGGAGGCGAAATATGAAAAAAACATTTAATTTGTTGAAATCTAACCATGGACATAAATCTTTTAATCTCATGCAACACTTTTTTTTCATCATTATTTCATAAATCTTCAACAGCATTAATTTTATGAACACCCATGTAGATAATCAACCCAAGCTAGACTTTTAACTCATTTAGAGTTAATAGATTCCATGGACGACCACCATTTCTACCTTTTACTTGTTTGTTTGTATTGGTATTTGTGACTATTGTTGTAGTTGTTCATCGGTAAAAAAAATAACTGAAAAAGTGAAAGCGGGGTAATGATTCCTAATTGATATTCATGGGGAAGTGTCGCATACCCATTGTGAAGTGGGTGAATATTTTGGATAGGATTAAAGGTAGGACATTCTGTATCTATATTACTTTGCACTGCTTCATTATTATCTTTTCTTTACCCTTTGCCCCACCTCTTCTTCTACCCCTTTCTCTACCTCTTCTTTGTCCTCTGCTTGTTCCCACATCCAACTCTCTATGTGCATAATCTTGTTCATTAGACTCACGTTCTTCATTATTGGTAACTTCTACAAGCTCGTAATCGATTATCAATTCACCATGAAAATCATGCTCGAAGGTAATCGAATAGTGCGGGTCGGAATCCTCATCAAGAGACATTTGAATTTTTTTTATTCAAAAAGAAAACAGTGAATGGATAAATTTTTAATGCCACAAAATAAGATATGATTTTAATAAAAACAATTTTATGGGTGATTTAATAGAATTAAGAAACAAAAAAAAAAAGAACGTAGTGGTTAAAAAATTGATAATAGTCGTAAATTTTAAGACAATTCTTAATCAAATGTAAGACATTACTTGCTTACAACTACCAACACAGCAACAACACAAGAACTTTCGATTTATTTGTTACAAGGGCATTATTTTTATTAATTCCAACAATTTCAGATTCTTATATTCGTTCTCATAAATATTTGGCCACATCTAATTCAGGAATTTATTAGTGTACTTATGTACGTACATATGTACTTATCAGAGCTACTTCATATGATTTTAAGCCGTACATTTTATTCCTACATATTTAACGCAATACTTAAGTACAGTACAAGCAACCGTCATGACAAAATTGTAGTTAGATAAGACAAAGACAAAGAGCAAAATCCTAATCCATAAGGAAGGTACTAGCATGTAATTACTTGTATGCGTACATACATACGTATGTATGTATGCACACCTGATACATATGCATATATGTATGTATCGTTCGCTAATGCTAATTTGTAATCAAATGATTAAAACCGGAAGAATCTGACCAATCATTTGAAATAAAATTCCAGGCAAATTTGCCTGGAAAACAGTAGACGTTTTTTTTTAAAAAAAGGTTGATATAAATGTTTAAGATCGACGATCTACGTAACGTAATGTAATGGATCGTCGATCTTAAACATTTATATCAACCTTTTTTAAAAAAAAAACGTCT